GTGTGGCAGTGAGTGTGGCAGTGAGTGTGGCAGTGGGTGTGGCAGTGAGAAAGTGAGTGTGGCAGTGAGTGTGGCAGTAAGACAGTGAGTGTGGCAGTGAGTGAGACAGTGAGTGTGGCAGTGAGTGTGAGAGTGAGTGTGGCAGTGAGTGTGGCAGTGAGACAGTGAGGGTGGCAGTGAGTTTGGCAGTGAGTGAGACAGTGAGTGTGGCAATGTGACAGTGAGGCAGTGACTGTGGGAGTGAATGAGACAGTGAGTGTGGCAGTGTGACAGTGAGTGCGGCAGTGAGTGAGACAGTGAGTGTGACAGTGAGTGTGGTAGTGAGTGTGACAGTGAGTGTGACAGTGAGTGAGGCAATGAGACAGTGAGTGAGACAGTGAGTGTGACAGTGAGTGAGACAGTGAGTGAGACAGTGAGTGTGGCAGTGAGTGTGGCAGTGAGACAGTGAGTGAGACAGTGAGTGTGGCAGAGACAGTGAGTGAGACATTGAGAGAGACAGTGAGTGTGACAGTGAGTGTGGCAGTGAGTGAGACAGTGAGTGTGGCAGTGAGTCTGGCAGTGAGTGTGGCAGTGAGTGTGACAGTGAGTGTGGCAGTGAGACAGTGGGTGAGACAGTGAGTGTGGCAGAGACAGTGAGTGTGACAGTGAGTGAGACAGTGAGTGAGACAGTGAGTCTGGCAGTGAGTGAGACAGTGAGTGTGGCAGCGAGTGTGACATTGAGTGAGACAGCGAGTGAGACAGTGAGTGAGACAGTGAGTGAGACAGTGAGTGTGGCAGTGAGTGTGGCAGTGAGTGAGACAGTGAGTGTGGCAGTGAGTGTGGCAGTGAGTGAGACAGTGAGTGAGACAGTGAGTGTGGCAGAGACAGTGAGTGTGACAGTGAGTGAGACAGTGAGTGAGACAGTGAGTCTGGCAGTGAGTGAGACAGTGAGTGTGGCAGCGAGTGTGACATTGAGTGAGACAGCGAGTGAGACAGTGAGTGAGACAGTGAGTGAGACAGTGAGTGTGGCAGTGAGTGTGGCAGTGAATGAGACAGTGAGTGTGGCAGTGAGTGTGGCAGTGAGTGTGGCAGTGAGTGAGACAGTGAGGGTGGCATTGAGTGTGGCATTGAGTGTGGCAAGTGAGTGAGGCAGTGAGTGTGACAGTGAGTGTGGTAGTGAGACAGTGAGTGTGGCAGTGGTTGTGGCAGTGAGACAGTGAGTGTAGCAGTGAGTGTAGCAGTGAGTGAGGCAGTGAGTGTTGCAGTGAGTGTGACAGTGAGTGTGGCAGTGAGTGAGACAGTGAGGGTGGCATTGAATGTGGCATTGAGTGTGGCAGTGAGTGAGGCAGTGAGTGTGACAGTGAGTGTGGTAGTGAGTGAGACAGTGAGTGTGGCAGTGAGTGTGGCAGTGGATGTGGCAGTGAGACAGTGAGTGTGGCAGTGAGTGTGGCAGTGAGTGAGACAGTGAGTGTGACAGTGAGTGTGGTAGTGATGAGACAGTGAGTGTGGCAGTGAGTGTGGCAGTGGGTGTGGCAGTGAGACAGTTAGTGTGGCAGTGTGGCAGTGAGTGTGGCAGCGAGTGTGACAGTGTGGCAGTGAGTGAGACAGTGAGGGTGGCAGTGAGTGTGGCAGTGAGTGTGGCAGTGAATGAGTGAGGGAGGCAGTGAGTGTGGCAGTGAGTGTGGCAGTGAGTGAGACAGTGAGTGTGGCAATGTGACAGTGAGTGAGGCACTGAGTGTGGCAGTGAGACAGTGAGTGTGGCAGTGAGTGTGACAGTGTGGCAATGAGTGAGACAGTGAGTGTGGCAGTGAGTGTGGCAGTGTGTTTCAGTGAGTGTGACAGTGAGTGTGGCAGTGAGCGAGACAGTGAGACAGTGAGTGAGACAGTGAGTGTAACAGTGAGACAGTGAGTGTGGCAGTGAGTGTGGCAGTGAGTGAGACAGTGATGTGCAGTGAGTGTGGCAGTGAGTGAGACAGTGAATGAGACAGTGAGTGTGGCAGTGAGACAGTGGATGAGACATTGAGAGAGTGTGACAGTGAGTGTGGCAGTGAGTGAGACAGTGAGTGTGGCAGTGAGTGAGACAGTGAGTGTGGCAGTGAGTCTGGCAGTGAGTGAGACAGTGAGTGTGGCAGTGAGTGTGGCAGTGAGACAGTGAGTGAGACAGTGAGTGTGGCAGTGAGTGAGACAGTGAGTGAGACTGTGAGTGAGACAGTGAGTGAGACAGTGAGTGTTGCAGTGAGACAGTGAGTGAGACAGTGAGTGAGACTGTGAGTGAGACAGTGAGTGAGACAGTGAGGGTGGCATTGAGTGTGCATTGAGTGTGGCAGTGAGTGAGGCAGTGAGTGTGACAGTGAGTGTGGTAGTGAGACAGTGAGTGGTGGCAGTGGTTGTGGCAGTGAGACAGTGAGTGTAGCAGTGAGTGTAGCAGTGAGTGAGGCAGTGAGTGTTGCAGTGAGTGTGACAGTGAGTGTGGCAGTGAGTGAGACAGTGAGGGTGGCATTTGAATGTGGCATTGAGTGTGGCAGTGAGTGAGGCAGTGAGTGTGACAGTGAGTGTGGTAGTGAGTGAGACAGTGAGTGTGGCAGTGAGTGTGGCAGTGGATGTGGCAGTGAGACAGTGAGTGTGGCAGTGAGTGTGGCAGTGAGTGAGACAGTGAGTGTGACAGTGAGTGTGGTAGTGAGACAGTGAGTGTGGCAGTGAGTGTGGCAGTGGGTGTGGCAGTGAGACATTTTAGTGTGGCAGTGTGGCAGTGAGTGTGGCAGCGAGTGTGACAGTGTGGCAGTGAGTGAGACAGTGAGGGTGGCAGTGAGTGTGGCAGTGAGTGTGGCAGTGAATGAGTGAGGGAGGCAGTGAGTGTGGCAGTGGTGTGGCAGTGAGTGAGACAGTGAGTGTGGCAATGTGACAGTGAGTGAGGCACTGAGTGTGGCAGTGAGACAGTGAGTGTGGCAGTGAGTGTGACAGTGTGGCAATGAGTGAGACAGTGAGTGTGGCAGTGAGTGTGGCAGTGTGTTCAGTGAGTGTGACAGTGTGGCAGTGAGCGAGACAGTGAGACAGTGAGTGAGACAGTGAGTGTAACAGTGAGACAGTGAGTGTGGCAGTGAGTGTGGCAGTGAGTGAGACAGTGATTGTGGCAGTGAGTGTGGCAGTGAGTGAGACAGTGAATGAGACAGTGAGTGTGGCAGTGAGACAGTGAGTGAGACATTGAGAGAGTGTGACAGTGAGTGTGGCAGTGAGTGAGACAGTGAGTGTGGCAGTGAGTGAGACAGTGAGTGTGGCAGTGAGTCTGGCAGTGAGTGAGACAGTGAGTGTGGCAGTGAGTGTGGCAGTGAGACAGTGAGTGAGACAGTGAGTGTGGCAGTGAGTGAGACAGTGAGTGAGACTGTGAGTGAGACAGTGAGTGAGACAGTGAGTGTTGCAGTGAGACAGTGAGTGAGACAGTGAGTGAGACTGTGAGTGAGACAGTGAGTGAGACAGTGAGTGTTGCAGTGAGACAGTGAGTGAGACAGTGAGTGAGACAGTGAGTGTGGCAGTGAGTGAGACAGTGAGTGTGGAGGTGAGTGAGACAGTGAGTGTGGGGGTGAGTGAGACAGTGAGTGTGGCAGTGAGTGTGGCAGTGAGTGCGGCAGTGAGTGAGACAGCGAGTGTGGCGGCGAGTGAGAAAGTGAGACAGTGAGTGAGACAGTAAAGTGAGACAGTGAGACAGTGAGTGTGGCAGTGAGTGAGACAGTGAGTGTGGCAGTGAGTGAGACAGTGAGACAGTGAGTGTGGCAGTGAGTCTGGCAGTGAGTGAGGACAGTGAGTGTGGCAGTGAGTGTGGCAGTGAGACAGTGAGTGAGACAGAGAGTGTCCAGTGAGTGAGACAGTGAGTGAGACAGTGAGTGAGACAGTGAGTGTGGCAGTGAGACAGTGAGTGAGACAGTGAGTGAGACAGTGAGTGTGGCAGTGAGTGAGACAGTGAGTGTGGAGGTGAGTGAGACAGTGAGTGTGGCGGTGAGTGAGACAGTGAGTGAGACAGTGAGTGTGCCAGTGAGTGTGGCAGTGAGTGCGGCAGTGAGTGAGACAGCGAGTGTGGCGGTGAGTGAGAAAGTGAGTGAGACAGTGAGTGAGACAGTGAGTGAGACAGTGAGACAGTGAGTGAGACAGTGAGTGAGACAGTGAGACAGTGAGTGAGACAGTGAGACAGTGAGTGTGGCAGTGAGTGAGACAGTGAGTGTGGCAGTGAGTGAGACAGTGAGACAATGAGACAGTGAGTGAGACAGTGAGACAGTGAGTGAGACAGTGAGTGTGGCAGTGAGTGTGGCAGTGAGTGAGACAGTGAGACAGTGAGTGTGGCAGTAAGAAGGTTAAAAGGAAAATAGTGATTACAACAACGAGTGTGAATAACGAGTAAAGACATTAAAAGCGGCTGTAGTGTTGTTGAATATGTTAATAAGGAAGCAGAAGATGGGTTGTTTATATAAATAAGACACAGTACGTGGTTTATGGCATTTAATCGAAAAGACGTTTCTACCACTAGGGACTTTATTACTAGTGACGATAAAGTTCCTGGTGGGCGAAACTCCCTCACAATAAAATGCCATAAAACGAGTCTTATTTACATGCTGGTATAAAATGGCAATGATATACAGAGGTTGTTAAGGGGGGTTTGGTCGTGTAGAAAGGATGGAAGACAGGTTGACCGAAGTGTATATAAATCTTGGTTGGATCGAGTTAGGTGAAGAGGACTTCCTGTTTACGGATGGAAGGATTATTAGATTTATTTTAATGGAAAGCGCTAAACCAGTTAGTTTCATCCAGCTTTACTGAAAGCTGATAATGGGATGTGAATTGTGGAGAGACAGAGAAGTGAGCATCCAGCAAACAAGTGTCAAGGTGTTGGATCAAAGTGGAAGCAAGTGGTTTTGGAGGGTTTAACTTGCAGTAGGAGAGTAAATGTGGTTATATCTAAGAAGGGATTTAGGAAAACTAGCTAGTCGGGCTTCAGTTTCGGAGGTGGGAAATACACTACCATGAAGACTCACCTGCCAGTCCCCTGTCCGTGGTGTTGGCCAGACTGACCACCTCCTCCTCCGTGCTGAACTTGATAATGGGAGCCACAGGGCCAAATATCTCGTTCTTGGCCAGGGCCATATCAGGGGTGACGCCGGTGAGCAGTGTTGGGGCGTAGTAGAGACCTCCTTGACTAGCCCCGCCCCGTACCACCTGCGCCCCAGCTGACACCGTCTCCCTCACCATCTTATCCAGCTGTTAGGTGCCACAGCCACGAGTGAACCCAGGATTGTGAACCCAAATGTTACTAAGAATCATATTTTATTTTATGTTATTAACACATTGGCTGATTCCCACCAAGGCAGGGTGGCCCGAAAAAGAAAAACTTTCACCATCATTCACTCCATCACTGTCTTGCCAGAAGGGTGCTTTACACTACAGTTTTTAAACTGCATCATTAACACCCCTCCTTCATATTGTCCATGATAAATGAACCGGATCTATCTCAGTGGAATTCTTTGAAATAATTACAGATTAATATCAAACATCTCACATGGGGAAGAATAAAGTTACATTATCGTAATTGAAAAATTCTCAACTCACAAAGTGGAAATAAAAAGCTGACGACTTTTCGGTCCCTCTGGGACCTACACCAGCTTTCATTTCCCATTTGTGGGTTAGTTGTCAAATCAAAATAGACATCTGCTTATTACAAAGAAAGCTTAACTATGGTATGATAGAGTCTGCAAGACTGGTGGTGTGTACTGACTCGTTCAAGCTGTCGCTGGTTGATTATAGGGCCTTGGTTGACGCCGAGGTCGAGACCGTTCCCCACCTTGAGTTCAGAGTCCATGGTCTTGGCCAGGCGTGACACGAATTCCTCGTAGACACTCTCGTGGACGAAGATACGATTGGCCGTGACGCAAGTCTGTACACACCAGGGAGACGTATGTTGTCATAGACTGCGACCTTTGTTCGCTTCCACAGTGTAAGGCATTTTATTGTGAAGACGTTTCGCCCGCTAGGGGCTTTATCAATTGATAAAATCGCTGGTGGACTCAGTAAAATGCCATAAACGCATATTATGTCTTATTAACATAATTGTAGGTATATAATTGTAGTGATATACATTTACAAGTAGGTCATTAGGGAGGTGCCTCACTCAGTAACATCACCAGACAAGATATTACTTAGCAGTTTTGAAGGCAAGCTTTCTTTTTGGAAAGATTAGATGGGAATGGAGAAACCTAGTTGGAGACGGAAATGAAACAACAAATGAATTCGAGGTTGTACATTTCTTAACTTGAATATTTCAGGCTCCCCTCTTCATACCTCGTTTCACTTACGCCCCCGAGTGGGTTTCTACATTCTCTCTGACTAGTGCTCATTACGCTACCAGCAGTGTAAGCTTCAGGTGATCCGAATGCTGGAGTACAAGAGGAAAGATGAGGAAAGAGTACAATTACCTGTCCGGTATTGCGGAACTTGCAGACCATGGTGCCAGCGATGGCAGTGTCCATGTTGGCACTGGGGAAGACGATAAAGGGAGCATCTCCTCCCAGCTCTAGCGACACCTTCTTCAAGGTGGACCCGCAGCGCGAGTACAGCCACTGTGGAGAGAGACACATACCGTTGCTGACACAGCAAATCCATTCACCCTGTGGCCCTGGAGCGAGTGTTCGGCCACTGTGGGAGAGAGAGAGAGAGAGAGAGAGAGAGAGAGAAGAGAGAGAGAGAGAGAGAGAGAGAGAGAGAGAGAGAGAGAGAGAGAGAGAGAGAGACTGCTAGTGTCAAGGCAAGCCAACTCACCCTGTAACTCGAACATAACTTTTGTAGACCTCTAGTGATAACTATTACAACATGTAGCCTTACGAGTTCTTATCACAGCCTGGTTAATCAGGCGCTCATGGCTCCCCTGTTTTATCTAGTCTCTTTAATAACCCAAATAATTGCCCACTACCATGGACAACATGTCGTGCCGAATAGGTAAACCTTGTGATTTTGGCTTAAATAGCAATGCTCTTCTTGCCGAATAAGGCAACCGAAAATTTTTCAATGCAATACTTTCGCAAAACTCATTCTGAGCCTAACGAAAAAACTATATTTCATTAAGTTTGTTTATTATTAAATTATTGTAAACTTATCTAAAATATCTTTAGCTGGATTAGGCTAAATTAAATTGCGCTAATTATAATAAGGTTAGGTAAGTTTTCTAAGGTACTTTTGGTACAAAATTATTAATTGTTACATTTCCATAAATGAAAAAAAATTTAAACTTAAAAGAGGAAATTTTAGAAACGACTTAATTTTAAATGAGTTCTTGCTAATTGACCAGTTTTACATATTCGCACGACAATATATATATATATATATATATATATATATATATATATATATATATAATATATATATATATATATATATATATATATATATATATATATATATATATATTATATAATTGTGGAGTTATATTAGAGTCAGGAGTGTGCTGTGGTGTCCTAAATAGGGATCACTTTAGCACAACGAGTCCCACTGACAGTTCCAGAAAAAACTGGAGAAATATATCGAGAATAAACTACATTGACTGTCAGCTGTTACTGATTCCCACTGCTCCCAGGACGGGAATTTATTTTTTCTCTCCCCCATGAATCATTACGATTCCAAAATATGCACGGACGGATTCCCCCGTGCTGGGCGTCAGCTGTGGGTGGGTCCGTGGAGTGTACTTGGGAGGCCATTTACGTACACTCCATGCACCAAAAAGGACAGTATTTTCTTTTGTTTAAAGCGGCGAGAATATTTCATCACTGGTTAAAGTTTCCGCACTGTGACCCATGCGATTTTAACGTTTTTTTCATGAATAAAATATAGATAAATCACGTCTCTCACAGCGGCCAGGCATTCACAAGCAGACCTCATCCTCCAACACTGCTCCTCCAACACTGCTCCTCCAACACTGCCCCTCCAACACTGCTCCTCCAACACTGCTCCTCCAACACTGCCCCTCCAACACTGCTCCTCCAACACTGCTCCTCCAACACTGCTTCTCCAACACTGCTCCTCCAACACTGCCCCTCCAACACTGCTCCTCCAACACTGCTCCTCCAACACTGCCCCTCCAACACTGCTCCTCCAACACTGCTCCTCCAACACTGCTCCTCCAACACTGCTCAATCCAACACTGCTCCTCAACACTGCTCCTCCAACACAGCCCCTCCAACACTGCCCCTCCAACACTGCCCTTTCCAACACTGCTCCTCCAACACTGCTCCTCCAACACTGCTTCTCCAACACTGCCCCTCCAACACTGCCCCTCCAACACTACTCTTCCATCACTGCTCCTCCAACACTGCTCCTCCAACACTGCTTCTCCACACTGCCTCCTCCAATCACCTACCCCTCCAACACTGCCCCTCCAACACTGCTCCTCCAACACTGCTCCTCCAACACTGCTCCTCCAACACTGCTTCTCCAACACTGCTCCTCAACACTACCCCTCCAACACTGCTCCTCCAGCACTGCTCCTCCAACACTACCTCTCCAACACTGCTCCTCCAACACTGCTCCTCCAACACTACTCCTCCAACACCACCGCTCCAACACTGCTCCTCCAACACTGCTCCTCCAACACTACTCTTCCATCACTGCTCCTTCAACACTTCTTCTCCAACACTGCTCCTCTGACACTGCTCCTCCAACACTGCTCGTGCAACACTACTACTCAACACTGGTCCACCAACACTGCTCCTCCAGCACTGCTCCTCCAACACTGCTCCTCCAGCACTGCTCATCCAAAACTGCTCCTCCAACACTGCTCCTCCAATAATGCTCAAAAACTGCTCTTCCAACACAGCTTCTCCAACACTACTCCTCCATCACTGCTCCTCCAACATTTATTCAACATTGCTCCAACACTGCTCCTACAACATTCTTTCAACATTGTTCCAAAACTTACAAAACCAGCAGGGGTCACTCTCCAACACCTGCAGCACCACTCACCATCACTCCTCCCACACCAGCAGTCTCACTCACCAACACTTAGGAATAAGTCTTCAATCCACTGCTGATAATTATAATTAATATAACCGGACTAGTTACCCTCCTTCAAGCCCCGGGTTATTCACTGCGCTCGTTCCTCGCTATGCACAAACAGAGTCATTTACCCTCCCCATAATCTTTTACAATAAACATCTTTTTACAATAGACTGAAAATAATGTATTAATGAACATGGAAACTGCGGGTATGTAAAAGAAAAAGTTTAGAAAAATCTGAAATTTAGGATATACCTGCTTTCATAAACACTTTGCTGCTCCACCCACAGCTAAAAGTAAGCAATCATATGTGTTCTGGTGCACAGAGACTGGTAATTTGCATTACCTTTCCTACTGCGGTTGATCCGGTGAAGAGAGGATGTGGACCTTGGGTGATTCACACAGACGACTTCCTATTTGCTGTACACGCCCACGCGAGCACGGTACCACGTTGACCACGCCCACCGGCACGCCCACACTCTCACACACCTCAGGAAGAATTCAAATGAAATATTACTTACACAACAGAAGTGTACTGATGTAGAAAGAAATATTCTACAAGCTTCTCATTTAGTTGTGTTTGCATGTGTCGTGAGCATCATGAGCCAGCGTTTGTCGGATTCCTTGCAGGTTATATCGGCTAAAAGAATAACCTACAACCTGCCTGACAAAAGACTGGATATCAGTCAAAAATTTGACATTTACCAGCTGACCCGACACCTCGTAAGAGTGCGGCAATACAGATACTGAAAAAAAATTGTATTAAAACCAACAACACAAACACTAAAGCTGGCTTATAAATCTTATACAGTACGTTTAAGAAATATTAACTAGGAGAGTATAAGGAAGGTTAGATCCACCAGCGCATGTTTGTTAACTCCAAGACTCTAGTGAACACTGATGCTATCTGAACACCAGTGAGCTAACTAAAACACACATTCCTTTTAAAGCAAAACTTGTTCACTCAGAACACACAAGTAACCCTGGCACTCAGAACACACAAGTAACCCTGGCACTCAGAACACACAAGTAACCCTGGCACTCAGAACGCACAAGTAACCCTGGCACTCAGAACACACAAGTAACCCTGGCACTCAGAACGCACAAGTAACCCTGGCACTCAGAACACACAAGTAACCCTGGCACTCAGAACACACAAGCAACCCTGGCACTCAGAACACACAAGTAACCCTGGCACTCAGAACACACAAGTAACCCTGGCACTCAGAACACACAAGTAACCCGGGCACTCAGAACACACAAGTAACCCTGGCACTCAGAACACACAAGTAACCCTGGCACTCAGAACACACAAGCTAACCCTGGCACTCAGAAACACACAAGTAACCCTGGCACTCAGAACACACAAGTAACCCTGGCACTCAGAACACACAAGTAACCCTGGCACTCAGAACACACAAACAACCCTAGCACTAAGAACACACAAGTAACCCTGGCACTCAGAACACACAAACAACCCTAGCACTAAGAACACACAAGTAACCCTGGCACTCAGAACACACAAACAACCCTAGCACTCAAAACACACAAGTAGTCCTGGCACTCAGAACACACAAGTAACCCTGGCACTCAGAACACACAAGCAACCCTGGGACTCAGAACACACAAGTAACACTGGCACTCACAACACACAAGCAACCGTGGCACTCACAACACACAAGCAACCCTGGCACTCAAAACACACAAGCAACCCTGGCACTCAGAACACACAAGCAATCGTGGCATTCAAAACACACAAGTAACCCTGACACTCAGAACACACAAGTAACCCTGGCACTCAGAACACACAAGTAACCCTGGCACTCAGAACACACAAGTGACCCTGGTACTCAGAACACACAAGTAACCCTGGCACTCAGAACACACAAGTAACCCTGGCACTCAGAACACACAAGTAACCCTGGCACTCAGAACACACAAGCAACCCTGGCACTCAGAACACACAAGTAACACTGGCACTCAGAACACACAAGTAACCCTGGCACTCAAACACACAAGAACCCTGACACTCAGAACACACAAGTAACCCTGGCACTCCACAACACACAACAACCCTGGCACTCAGAACACACAAGCAACCCTGGCACTCCAGAACACACAGCAACCCTGGCACTCAGAACACACAAGCTAACCCTGGCACTCAGAACACACAAGGCAACCCTGGCACTCAGAACACACAAGCAACCCTGGCCCCACTCAGAACACACAAGCAACCCTGGCACTCAGAACACACAGGCAACCCTGGCACTCAGAACACACAGCAACCCTGGCACTCAGAACACACAGGCAACCCTGGCACTCAGAATACACAGGCAAACCCTGGCACTCAGAACACACAAGAACTCTGCACTCAGAACACACAAGTAACCCTGGCACTCAGAACACACAGGCAACCCTAGCACTCAGAACACACAGGCAATCCTGGCACTCAGAACGCACAGGCACCCCTGGCACTCAGAACACACAAGCAACCCTGGCACTCAGAACGCACAGCACCCTGGCACTCAGAACACACAGCAATCCTGGCACTACAGAACGCACAGGCACCCCTGGCACTCAGAACACACAAGCAAAACCTTGGCACTCAGAACACACAGGCAACTCTGGCACTCAGAACACACAAGCAACCCTGTGCACTCAGAACACACAAGGCAACCACTGGCACACAAACACACAGCAACCCTGGCACTCACAACACACAAGCAACCCTGGCACTCAAACACACAGCAAACCCTGGCACTCAGAACACACAACAGCAATGAGGCATCAAAACACACAAAACCCTGGCACTCAGAACACACAAGCAACCCTGGCACTTAGAACACACAAGAACCCTGGCACTCAGAACACACAAAACCCTGGCACTCAGAACACACAAGCAACCCTGGCACTCAGAACACACAGGCAACCCTGGCACTCAGAACACACAAGCAACCCTGACACTCAGAACACACAAGCAACACCTGGCCTGGCACTCAAGAACACACATGCAACCCTGGCACTCAGAACACACGAGCAGTCCTGGCACTCAGAACACACAAGGCAACCCTGGCACTCAGAACACACATGCAACCTCTGGCACTCTGAACACACAAGCAACCCTGGCACTCAGAACACATAAGCAACCCTGCACTCAGAACACACAGGCAACCCTGGCACTCAGAACACACAAGCAACCCTGGCACTCAGAACACACAGGCAACCCTGGCACTCAGAACACACAAGCAACCCTGCACTCAGAACACACAAACAACCCTGGCACTCAGAACACACAGCAACGCATCAAACCCAGGCAACTCAGAACACACATCAACCCTGGCACTCAGAACACACAGCAACCCTGGCACTCAAACACACAAGCAAACCCGGCACTCAGAACACACAAGCAACCCTGGCACTCAGAACACACAGGCAACCCTGTCACTCAGAACACACAGGCAATCCTGGCACTCAGAACGCACAGGCACCCCTGGCACTCAGAACACACAAGCAACCCTGGCACTCAGAACACACAGGCAACTCTGGCACTCAGAACACACAGCAACCCTGGCACTTAGAACACACAGGCAACCCTGGCACTCAGAACACACAGGCAACCCTGGCACTCAACAACACACACAGCAAAACCCTGGCACTCAGAACACACAGGCAACCCTGGCACTCCTGAACACACAACAGCCCTGGCACTCAGAACACACAGAACCCTGGCACTCAGAACACACAAGCAACCCTGGCACTTAGAACACACAAGCAACCCTGGCACTCAGAACACACAAGCAACCCTGGCACTCAGAACACACAAGCAACCCTGGCACTCAGAACACACAGGCAACCCTGGCACTCAGAACACACAAGCAACCCTGACACTCAGAACACACAAGCAACCCTGGCACTCAGAACACACATGCAACACTGGCACTCAGAACACACGAGCAGTCCTGGCACTCAGAACACACAGGCAACCCTGGCACTCAGAACACACAGCAACCCTGGCACACTGAACACACAAGCAACCCTGGCACTCAGAACACATAAGCAACCCTGGCACTCAGAACACACAGGCAACCCTGGCACTCAGAACACACAAGCAACCCTGGCACTCAGAACACACAGGCATCCCTGGCACTCAGAACACACAAGCAACCCTGGCACTCAGAACACACAAGCAACCCTGGCACTCAGAACACACAGGCAACCCTGGCACTCAGAACACACAGGCAACCCTGGCACTCAGAACACACAGGCAACCCTGGCACTCAGAACACACAGGCAACCCTGGCACTCACAACACACAAGCAAACCCTGCACTCAGAACACACAGCAACCCTGGCACTCAGAACACACAAGCAACCCTGGCACTCAGAACACACAGGCAACCCTGGCACTCAGAACACACAAGCAACCCTGGCACTCAGAACACACAAGCAACCCTGGCACTCAGAACACACAGGCAACCCTGGCACTCAGAACACACAAGCAACCCTGACAGTCAGAACACACAAGCAACCCTGGCACTCAGAACACACATGCAACCCTGGCACTCAACACACAGGCAACCCTGTCATTCAAGAACACACAAGCAACCTGGCACTCTGAACATCACCAAGCAACCCTGGCACTCAGAAACACATATAGCAACACCCTGGCACTCAGAACATACAGGTCAACCTCTGGCACTCAGAACACACAACAACCCTGCACTCAGAACACACAGCATCCCTGGCACTCAGAACACACAAGCAACCCTGCATTCAGAACACACAAGCAACCTGGCATCCAGAACACACAGGAACCCTGGCACTCATAAACACACAAGGAACCCTTGGCACTCAGAACACACAGCATACCCTGGCAACTCAGAATACACAGGCAACCCTGGCACTCAGAACTACAAGCAACCCTGGCACTCAGACACACAAGCAACCCTGTCACTCAGAACATATCAACAAAGACCCTGCACCAGAAACACAAGCAATCCTGCACTTCAGAACGCATCAGGCACCTGGCACTCAGAACACACAGCAACCCTGGCACTAGCAAACACACAATCAACCCTGCACTCAAACACACAAGCAACCCTGGCACTCAGAACACACAAGCATACCCTGGCACTCAGAAACACACATACAAAACCCAGACTCAGAACACACAAGAAACCCTGGTAACTCAGAACACACAAGCAACCTGGCACTCAGAACCGCAAGCAACCCTGGCACTCCAGAAACACAACATACAACCCTGCACTCAGAACACACAACAACCCGTGGTACTCAGAACACACAACAACCCTGGCACTATAACACGCATAGCAACCCTGGCACTCAGAATACACATACAACACAAACTCAGAAACAAAAGCAACCCTGAGTACTCAGAACACCATACACCCCGGCACTCGAACACACAAGCAACCCGTGGCACTCAGAACACCATACAACCACGGCACTCAGAACACACAGCACGCCTGGTACTCAGGAACACATACTACCCAGGCACTGAAGAACAGCACAAGCAACCCCCTGGCAATCAGAACACACATACAACCCAGGCGACTCAGAACAACAACTGAACCCTGCACTCAGAACCAACAAGCAACCTGGCAGCTCTTACAATAACCACCTCATTAAACTTCACAGCAAAGTATGCAAATAAATCCCTAATTACATTTATCTTTTCTACTAACAGGTAAATATTCCGCCCACTAAATAATCTTTAACGACCGTTGCTTCATTTATATATATATATATATATATATATATATATATATATATATATATATATATAGTATATATATATATATATATATATATATATATATATATATAAATATATATATATATAATATATAATATATAATAATATATATATATAATATATATATATATATATATTATATAATATATAAATATATAATATATTTTTATATAATAGGGGAAAAATATTTTAATATATAAATATATATATAAATAATATTATAATAATATATATAAAAAATATAAGGGGTTTTAACCGTTGTGGGATCTGTAGTGAGGTGCTGGGCCCGACCCCTTAATTTTGTTCCTTGGATCTTTTCTTTTATAGTTCCTTGAAATGTGAGAGTCAGAAAGCGCTTGGAATTTCTCTATTTTTTCAGAGTGGTTGTTTTTCATATTCCGAAATCACCTGTTTACTGTGATCTTATTTCAATAATATATAATATATATATATAAATTATATAAATAAAATATATATAAATATATAAAATATAATATAATATAATATATATATGAGTGAAAAAAGAAGTGGAGAAGAACCCTTTCCCACGTAAGCCTGTGTGTCATATAGGCTCCAAAAGCCGGAGCAAGGGGATATTAAACCCCTTCTCCTGTATAAATTACTAAATTTAAAAAGAAAAAAATTTCGTCTTTCTTTCTAGGTCACCCTACCTCGGTGGGATACGGCCAGTTCATTGATATAATTTGTGACGTGATATGTCACGAAATATAAATATATATATATATATATTATATATATAATATATAATAGATATATATATATACATATATGCAAGGAATTCGCAAGAGCAGGCGAAATATACACAAACACTGATCTCTGGCTTAAGGAGACTCGAACCAACGAAGCTTGGAACAAGGTACACGGTGCTTTACCAATGTACCCATACTGGACCAATACCTTGGAGTCCAGCTTGCGCTAGACTTTGATTGGTAAAGCACTGCGTACCTTGTTCGAAGGTTCGTAGGTTCGAGTCTCCTTGAGCCAGAGATCAGTGTTTATATATATATATATATATATATATATATATATATATATATATATATATATATTATATATATACATATATATATATATATATATATATATATATATATATATATATATATATATATATATATATATAAATATATATATATATAAATATATATATATATATATATGTCGTGGCCGAATAGGCAGAACTTGCCATCTTGGCTTAAATAGCAACGCTCATCTTGCCGTATAGGTCAAGTGAAAATTTGTGTATGCAATAATTTCGACAAAATCATTCTGAACCTAACGAAAAAAATATATTTCACTGTGTTTGTTTAGTATTAAATTATTGTAAACAAATCTAAAATATATTTAGTTAGGTTAGGCTAAAACAAATTTTCCTTGTTATAATAAGGTTAGGTAAGTTTTCTAAGATTCTTTTGGTGCAAAATTATAAATTTTTACATTATCATTAATGAAAAAAATATATCTTTAAATGTATAAGAGAAAATTTTAGAAAGGACTTAATTTTAAATGAGTTCTTGCTAATTGACCAGTTTTACATATTCGGCACGACATATATATATATATATATATATATATATATATATATATATATATATATATATATATATATATATATATATATAAAATATATATATATATATACATATATTTCATTTATGTTGATGTAAAAATTTATAATTTTGTACCAAAAAGCTTAGAAATCTTACCTAACCTTATTATAACAAGCGTAATTTAATTTAGCCTAATCCAACTAAATATATTTTAAATAAGTTTAGAATAATTTAATTATAAACAAATACAATGAAATATATTTTTGTCGTTAGTGTCAGAATGATTTTTGCGAAAATACTGCATACACATTTTTTCGCTTGCCTTAATCTGCAAGAAGACCGTTGCTACTTAAAACAAAATCGCAAGTTTTTCCTATTCGGCACGATATATATACCTTGTTGAAAATAGGAAAAAATCCTGATCGCTTTCGTGTTCTTACACACATCCTCAGAGGAATAGGAAGAAGAAAAAAAAACATTTTGAATGTTAAATACTGAGGTGAACCTCATTAGAGGTGGAAAATCACCTCATTCAGAGGTGGCACCTCAGAGGTGGCAACTCGCAAAGTGAGGTGCTACTTAACTCAGTGACGTATCACTTCACAAATTTTAAATGACTTCAATATCGGTCTCTCTGAAATAACAAGAAAATTCCTCTTCAGTTTGGATTAAAAACTGCTGTTTTTTTATGGGAAAATTTTTAATTAGCTTTTTGCTTGAATGTTATAATTTGCCAGTTTTTTAGTGACGAAACTGGAATATTAGTTTCCATCTCATAACTTTAACTGCATCGGATATGTATGCTACATTTTTGGAGTTCCCTGATGCGTGCACCCAGGTACAGTGGACTGGGATTTACCTTGGCGAAGGCCAGGGCGACCAGGGGTGTGTCTTCTGCAGGCTTGATGACGCAGGTGCAGCCGGCGGCCAGGGCAGCCGACACCTTCCTGGCGAGCATGGCGATGGGGAAGTTCCACTGTGGAGAAAATTGGGTTAGTGACCTCATGAGGGAGTACACTGGGTTAGTGACGTCGTTAGGGAGTATACTGGGTTAGTGACCTCGTGAGGGAGTACAATGAGTTAGTGACCTCGTCAGGGAGTATACTGGGTTAGTAAGCTCGTCAGGAAGTATACTGGGTTAGTGACCTCGTCAGGAAGTATACTGGGTTAGTGACCTTGTCAGGAAGTATACTGGGTTAGTGACCTCGTCAGGAAGTATACTGGGTTAGTGACCTCGACAGGAAGTATACTGGGTTAGTGACCTCGTCAGGAAGTATACTGGGTTAGTGACCTCGTCAGGAAGTATACTGGGTTAGTGACCTCGTCAGGAAGTATACTGGGTTAGTGACCTCGTCAGGAAGTATACTGGGTTAGTGACCTCGTCAGGGGGGTACACACATGTACATGTATAGATATAAGTATTGAAGGGGGTTGCACAGTAGATCTCAAATCTCACAGAATATATCAGTGAGTGTCAGCTGGACAAACATCGCCAGTTCCCAACCTATCAATATTGTTATCTTGAAGCCCAATATACCAAAATACTTACTTGGACCGGGAGGTCCATATACATGTCTCAACAAAGAAGGTCTACTTTCCAGAATACTGACCTCAGCCAGCACACACACACACACACACACACACCACCACACCACCCCACACAACACACAACGGACGCACACCACACACACACACACACACACACACACACGCACATTTCTTCAGTCACAGAGTTGTCAGGAAGTGGAATAGCCTAGAAAGTGACGTAGTTGAGGCAGGAACCATACATAGTTTTAAGACGAGGTTTAATAAAGCTCATGGAGCAGGGAGAGAGAGGACCCAGTAGCAACCGGTGAAGAGGCGGGGCCAGGAGCTAAGACTCGACCCCTGCAATCACAAATAGGTGAGTACAAATATGTGAGTACACACACACAACCAAGAAATCTTCGAGGATCTGAATAAACGATTTGATGAGGTATTCTAGGAGGCAATAAGGGTATTTACCAGAGATTCAAAGTGGAAGAGTGCATCAACGAGTGCTGTACATGAGATTGAGACACATGTGCAACATCTGGGTATCTTTATTGTAGACGTTTCGCCATCCAGTGGCTTTATCAATACAAATTCCAGGACATAACTTGAAGACAGGAGAACTATGTACAGAAGATGAGGTAATCAGTCCCTCAACCTAGCAGTAGGTGCGAAGAGCACCATGTCGTGGAATCTGAAGCAGAAGCAAGGCGCCTGACGCTTATGTAGTAACGTCAGGTGGAACTGGGACGGGTAGCAGACAAGGGCATAGTCACTGGTAGGCGGGATTCCCAGTGGAAGTAGGTCCTACCCAAAGAGATGGGTTAGTTGTAGTAGTAGATGTCGTAGTCGTGAAGGTTATGTCCTCAGAATCAAGATTCCATGATGTTGCAGTGTCTGACAGGTTGTACAAGAATGGTATACAATACCGACAAGATGAAATTGAGACACATGTGCAACATGTGCACATGTGTCTCAATTTCATCTTGTCGGTATTGTATACCATTCTCGTACAACGAGCGCTGTACATAATACACACAATGTAAGTGGTGAAAAAAACACCGGAAAATCTGGTGTGCTCAGACTGTTTGAACAAATAGTGTTGGCTTGAGAATTTGCTGTACGTGTTGTGGCTTAAAAACCTGTGAAACCTGCTCAGAGCGATGGGAATGACATAGAAGCTTTATACACGTCCGCATTCTGAAGAATTCAGGGTTCTACTCCCGTAGCACTGTCAGGAAGATCAGTGTTAGTGTCGTGAGCTCTAGGAACTCTAGGCGAGCGTGTGTTCTGCAGAGCTTGTGTTATAGTGGAACCTCTAGGGGCAATGATATCTCGCTAGTTATTTAGCTAAAGCGCTCCAGTGATATTTCCCCCTTTCGTTTTCTTACTAATTTATGTTCTTGTTCTTTTGTTTGCATTTTCCTGGCGGTGTTTATGACATTAGAGGGAAGACGGATGAAGTTGTCATCTTTTAGGGACATACATTTATTGTTCTGATAACATGTGTTTAGCGACGTCCGTCCTGGGAGAGACATGAAAACCGGCTTTACTAAACAGCAAGAAGTTGTGCCGAAAATTTTATATAGAGTACATCTCTGGTCCTACAGTCTCGATAGCCTAGAGCTATCTTTCAATCCCATTATATATATATAATATATATATATATATATATATATATATATATATATATATATATATATATATATATATATATATATATATATATATATATATGTAATATTGCACAATATTTCATGAAGTAAATATTGTTCTGAAATTACTAAAACATGAGCTTAATTCTGACGCTTTCAATGTGTTTTTATGTTTCGCATTTTATATTTTTGGAAGCATTACCAAAAAGTTTCTGTAAATGACAAACTGGCCAACGAGATATATTTTGTAAACGTGCGGAAAGTGTCGACGCTTTACTACTGAAACAAAATAATTTCATTTTGAACCTGACCGAAATACATGAGTAAGGTTGATGTTATAGTTTATCTGCGCCACCATGCAGTGTGTGTGTGTGTGTGTGTGTGTGTGTGTGTGTGTGTTTGTGTGTGTGTGTGTGTGTGTGTGGTGTGTGTGTGTGTATGTGTGTGTGTGTGTATGTGTGTGTGTGTGTGTGTGTTGTGATGTGTGTGTGTGTGTGTGTGTGTGTGTGTGTGTGTGGTGTGTGTGTTGTGTGTGTGTGTGTGTTGTGTGTGTGTATGTGTGTGTGTGTGTGTGTGTGTAGTGTGTGTGTGTGTGTGTGTGTGTGTGTGTATGTGTGTGTGTATGTGTGTGTGTGTGTGTGTGTGTGTGTATGTGATGTGTGTGTGTGTGTGTTGTGTGTATGTGTGTGTGTGTGTGTGTGTGTGTGTGTGTGTGTGTATGTTTGTGTGTGTGTGTGTGTGTATGTGTGTGTTGTGTGTGTATGTGTGTGATGTGTGTGTGTGTGTGTGTGTGTGTGTGTGTGTGTGTGTGTGTGTGTGTGTGTGTGTGTGTGTGTGTGTGTGTGTGTGTGTGTGTGTGTGTGTGTGTGTACTCACCTAGTTGTACTCACCTAGTTGAGGTTGCGGGGGTCGAGTCCGAGCTCCTGGCCCCGCCTCTTCACTGATCGCTACTAGGTCACTCTCCCTGAGCCGTGAGCTTTATCATACCTCTGCTTAAAGCTATGTATGGATCCTGCCTCCACTACATCGCTTCCAAAACTATTCCACTTACTGACTACTCTGTGGCTGAAGAAATACTTCCTAACATCCCTGTGATTCATCTGTGTCTTCAGCTTCGAACTGTGTCCCCTTGTTACTGTGTCCAATCTCTGGAACATCCTGTCTTTGTCCACCTTGTCAATTCCTCTCAGTATTTAATTCTTCTCATCAACTTAACATCATCTGGAACAGGACACTTCAGGTCTTTTCCCTTCCATCATGTCGTTCGCATATATCAAAAATGAAACTGGTCCTAGAACTGCCCCTGTGGGACCCCGTCGTCAAGCGCCACTGTATCCCTCTTCACGTACCTGACTCGTTGTTCCTCCCTGTCGGGGATTCCCTGATCCATTGCGGGCCCCTCCCTGTTATTGGGCCTGATCCTCACTTTGCACTAAACTCTTGTGGGGAACTGTGTCAAAGGCCTTCCTGCAGTCTAGGAAAACGCAATCAACCCCCCCTCTTCCTCGTGCTTACTTCTTTTTTCCTTTCAAAAAAACCCCAAAGGGTTTTGTGACACAGGTTTTCCCTTCCCATAACCCCATGCGGGTTTTATTTATAATCTTGCTCCGTTCCAGGTTTCGCCACCCCCCTCCTGATAATCTTCTCCATGACTTTGCACAAATACATTCAAGACACAGGTCTGTAGCTTGTGCCTCATTTCTTTTTCCTTTCTTAAATATGGGGATTACATTTGCTGTCTTCCATTTCTCGGGGTATTGCCCATTTCAAGGGATGTGGTGAAGATGTGGTTAGGGGCACACACAGCATTTCTGCTTTTTCTCAAAGGGCCCCCGGGGGAGATTCCGGCCCCATCGCCTTTGAGGTTAAGGTCACTTAGCAGCTTTGCACCTCCCCCCGGGTTTTTCGATGTCACCAACACTTTTTTTGGTGTGTGTGTGTGTGCGTGTGTGTTGTGGTGTTTGTGTGTGTTGTGTGTGTGGTGTGTTTTTTGGGTGTGGTGTGTGGTGTGGTGAGTGTGTTGTGGTTGCGTTGCGTGTGCGGCGTGTACTCCCCTAGTTGGGGTTGGGGGGGTCGAGTCCGAGCTCCGGGCCCCGCCTCTACTGATCGCTACTAGGTACTCCCCCCTGACCGTGAGTTTTACATCCCTTGCTTAAAGCTATGTATGGATCCTGCCTCCACTACATCGCGTCCCAAACTTTTCCCTTACTGACTACTCTTGGCTGAAGAAATACTTCCTAACACCCCCTGTGATTCACTGTGCTTCAACTTCCCTGGTCCCCTTTTTACTGTGCCCAATCTCTGGAACATCCTGTTTGTCCACCTGTCAATTCCCTCAGTTTTTTGTATGGTTATCATTCCCCCCTATTTCCTGTCCTCCGTGTCGTCGGTTGTTTTCCCTTAACCCTCTCCTTGGGGATTCTTGTTGCAAACCTTTGCACTTTCTCTATTTTTCTTTACGTGCTTGGCTGGGTGTGGGTTCCAAACGGTCCGCATACTCCAAAGGGGCCTAACGTACAGGGTGTACGGGGTCCTGAATATTCCTTATTAAGTGTCGGAATGCTTTTTCTGAGGTTTGCTAGGCGCCCAATGGCAGCATTTTTTGGTTGATGTGCGTTTCAAGATGGCCGTGTTTACTCCCCCCAAATCTTTTTCCTTAGTAGGTTTGTTTTTGGGCCCCCCGCTGTACTCCGTCTGCGTTTTCTTTCCCTTCCCCAATTTTCATGACTTTGCCTTGGTGGGATTGAACTCCCGGAGCCAATTCTGGGCCAGGGCCCGCAGCCGTCCAACC